AATTTATAAAAGAAAAGTGCTAACTAGAAGGGTTCGAACAGTAATGAAGAAACAAAAATAAAAATTTTAATTAATTTATTAAAATCTGGCTGACCACACAAAACTGTTTCGTGTATTGCCAAGTACTCATCCATTAGTAACATTAGAAAATATTCAAATTTTTATTTAATTAGTTTATAGTCCGTACATAATTTGTTAGGCTATAGGTGCTAACTTTGAAAGAGAAAGTAGAAATTGTACATAACGAATTTATTGTAAAAGTGTCCATTAAAATTACTCAATTTAAAATTCTTAAAATTCATTCCACAGAAATTTTCAAACAAAGATTCAAAAATTATGCCTTAATTAAATGCTAAATGTTCTTATATTACTTCTCTTTGAAATTGTTAGCATTGTAGAGATGTTTGGATTTGTTGAATTATTCAGACTTAATTTCATATTTTTTTAAACCACTGCGTTAGATTTCAATAAATTTCGAACTCCAAAAAAACCTTTCTTAATATAGTTATACCAATGGGAAATAGTGCTAAATCATCAGAGTGTGAACATATTATATCTGCATTGTTTTCAGTAAAATAATTTTATCACTATCTATTCTTTTTATTGCTAGGTTAAATCAAAGTAACATAATCTTATATCAAAATCAGTATAAAGATTTTCAGCCTAAACTTTTCGAAATCTTAGGTCTGAACCTGATCTGGTGTTTCTGTAGCCAAACTTTTTAAAGCATTTGAAAATTAACTCTTACAATATAGATTTTATAAAAAAACATGCTGTGTTGATGCTGTGTTTCCTCTGTTTTACTTCAAATTTTCAAAATCTGTCAGAAATAAGAAATCAGTTGGTATATATAATATTTTACAGCAATAAATTTTTGGAAGGTTTTATTTAAAATTATAAACGAATTGTACTTTGAACATATGATCCAGTTAATTCTAGCTTAGTATTATTATTAATAATTTATATTGTTAATTAATATTGTTATTATTATGATTTGTCGCCTTACCTTTAACTACAGTTTTATCAATTATTTGTCAAACTGATTCAGTGTATTCGCCTTCACAGTTAAAAGCATCAAATTCTTCCTTTTTTATATTTATCTATTTGTTCTTTCTATTGTTAATTTCAGTCCATTTTATAAAGACACATAGACTTTTTTACTAAAAGTGGGAACTCTGTTTTTTCGGTTTCATTTCTTGTACTCTTAAGCATCATCATCAATTCCTGTATCTCCCATTGCAGCATAGGACTTCTCTTGTACTCTTAGATCATACTTAAACTTTGCAAAACAATTTTATTATGGAATTTTTCTACGCTCACGTACTCTAAGATCTTATCTATTTAGACAGTATATATGTATTATGAGTTTCGCGATATCTGCTTTAATGCATACGATAATCTTGTTGAATTGAATAGACCATTTTCACACCATATGTGTGAAAAATATAAAAGTCTTTGTTAAAGTTTTTTAACAGTTAATGTTATAAACTAACAAGTTCTAAAGATAACTGCAGTAATAAATAACATGAAGTCCGTTTAAAGCACATATCTTTAAAAGCAGACAGTAGACAACTACTAATCGGTACACACAGGTTGACATGGATATTTACTTCTCATATCGTAAAGACATATCGCAAAGCATATTGAATCTTCTGCATTACACAGATTACATAAGCTTAAGTTTGTTACTTAAGTCGTTTGTTTCCCAAGTACATTATAATTTTAAATCTCCTCTGGCTACTCTTTTGAATGCACACTCGCATAATCCTCCAAGAGTCTTTTGGAAAACCATAAAAAAGAGAAGAAAAGCTACCGTCATAGCACTTTGATTTGACAAGTGAGCAGCTGTCGAAACTGACATAAATCAAAACAACAACAACGTTAAGTATATCAAAAAACAAATTAATAACACGTAAAATTAAATAAAAAAAAATACATAAACAAAAAGAAAAAAAATAACAAAATCCAACGAATTAAAGCAATGATGTATTTTTGTTTTAATTCACATTTTTTCACTAATTTGTTGGTACAATTGCTAGTTCCATGCCAGATAAAGCTAAAGCTGAAGAACACAGAATGTGCTGCAAGGGTCATAAAAACGGGGTTAATAGCCTTTATTTGGCGTAAACTGGCTTATATAAATATTAACATGGCTTTGCATGTAAGAAAATATCTTTTGTATGCACCTTAACGACAACGAACTAATTTGAAGTTGATATTTTATGATTTAGTGTTATGCTTCACTTCAGTCAAAAATCTAAGCTGGCTTAATGTCCGAGATAGATTCTTACCAGTACAAAAGCGAAACACGTATACAGCAAGTGTAGTAACGCATGAATCATAATTTTCCGAAACATCAAAGTACGTTTTCATTTGTATCTTTCAGATTGTTTCCTCTGCTTTTTCGCTGGAATGTTTTGAGGTGTAACGACCACCAGCTCGTGTATAAAATTACAACAAAAATGATTTATGACAAAAACAAAACATTTTGATTGATCAAACTGACCTCATATTGGATATAATTAAAAATAATTTAAAACAAAACAAAAAATGTGGAAAACCGTTTGCTCAGATACATATACTAATGTGCATCGATATACAGATATACATATGTATGCATAAAATGTATGTTCAAACAAGTAAAAAAAATTTTATACAAATTTACTGTAAATAGATATTCTGTGGTTGCATATACCACAATCGAAAAATTAATTTTTTCATGCAAACAAGATTTAAAGTTTATAGTATCAACTTCTATATACAGATTATGTTTCGGTTAAAGAATTCTGGTAGAAAAAACTTATATGTCCAGAATTCAAAAAGAAGCATTACAAAACTTTTTAAAACATGAAATTGAAATTTTCATGAAGTTTTTTCTTTACACTTTTAGTTAATTACTTTTCTTTGTTTTCTTTCTAGATACATAACATAGATACATAGATACCTAAGAATAAGAATATTCTCATTTGTTGCCTATTCTATTCTTGCCTTGTAAGTTATTGCATTAGAAATATCTTTCGTGTTTGATTATAATTATTATTCTGTATCTGTATGCTTTAATTATGTGTTATTTTATTTAATTGTATAAATCGTGTTTTAATTTGCTCTAATGAGTATAAAATTTAATATTACATGCTTCCAATTTGTAAATAAAATTTATGACCCAAAATTACTTTAAGAATGGAAAGCATGAAAAATTCATTGAAAGTGAATCTGGAATTAAAATTTTTAATTCTAAGGAAAATAATAAATTCACCTTCATAAAAAAAAATTGAGTTCTTTTAAAAGGAAAATCAGTTTCGCTTAAATTTGTAATTAAAATTTTTATTTCTTCTTATTATTCACATTTATTCCTTTTATAATCTGATTAAGTCATAACTTAAGTCATATTAACCCTAAATAAAATATCAGTATAAAATAAACTCTTCTGTATAATTTATTTCTTTAAGTGGGAGTTACCGTAACAGGGCAGGAGAACAATCCCTGGTACTTGCAGTCTCAAAAAATTATTTACGAATAATTAAATATGAGAAATAGTTTCCAAGACTTCTAATGATGGATATTTGGAAATTTTCGAAACAGCTAAAAATTCAATTCATTAAAAAATAATATAAAGAAAGGAATTTTTGTTGTTTCAGTTCACTACTTTTCGAAACCTCCCATAACCAATATTAATATTAGATATATATTTTTGTAGGTTTTGTAATTCGCTAATATTACAGTAGATATCCAATTTAAAGAAACTCTGATTTAATGAATAATGAATAAAACTCTGTCATTGAATTAAAGAAAACAAAACCAATATATTATAAGAGGGAATCTCTAACTGAAATAACATCTTTAAAGTGCTCTGGAACATATAAGGTTTCTATAAAATATTTATTATTTGAATAAAGGATAGTGCACTTTGACCTAAAAGATCTATTGTGACCCTTAGTCGGATTAGAGTGTTTCTTTAAGTCCGATTTATTTAAGGAAAAACTGTATAGCGCCTATCTTTCCTAGCCTTAATTCTGTATGTTTCATGAAACACCCTCCTAGCTGTTTGTTTCACTTGTACATCAGTGCCGGCCGTTTCTCTAGCACATGACATGTGATTTCTCTCTCTTCCCTGCAGTATCTGCAGTCCAAGTTGGATTGGATTCTTTAATTTGCTAGGTGATTACTCGATATACAATGACCGGATATTCTCATAATAATTCTTAAATTAAAATATTTGAATTGTTGTTAAAGATATATGATATAAGATATATGATATATGAATTGTTGTTAAAGATATTGCTTGGTCAAAATTCAGGAAATACGACGTGTAAATTAAATACGATAAGTATCTATTATTGATAAAATTCGGAATTTGATAGTTCGGTAGTTGTGGTATGTGACTATCGAGTCTCCGAGCCAAAGAACAGAATTCTTTTGATGCTCGTTTTGAAGAGTTTAAGTTTGGAACAGCTGAAGAGAGCATTGAATATGTTTTCATTTAATAATAAGCATAGCAAACTTTAGTAATATTTGGACATTGTTATCCGCCCCTGCCTCCATATTGTTTTGCTCACGTAGTTACATAACTGGATAACCAATTAACAAATTAATTGAAATTAATTTGATTTGTTAAATTAACAGATATTGTTCTTTATCATTAGTTTCCCGATTATGAAACAAAGAGACAGAATGTGGTAAAATATATTAAAACTCAGCATTTTAGATTGCTATGACATAATTAAAAAGCAATAGACATAGAAGAAACAGGCTGAGAAAGGGATGGAACATTTCAAATATGATTAAACTGGTGTTTCAAATATTTTAGGATCATAAGAATAGTAAAATGATAAGCTAGGGTCTCCAAAATATAATATGCTGTCCCTAAAAAATTCTTCTGCAGAGAACCGCAACTTTAACACGATAACTTAGTTTTATTTTTATTTATACTGAAATGAATCAACTTACTAATAAATTGAATAAAATACTGAGATGGTTGTTAATGAAATATCACAAAGCTATTGATGGGTTAATTTTTAATTTTTATTTCTCCAAAACCAAATTTAAGTCAAATTACTAAAATTTGTAAATAGCATGATTGAAACTAGCACTTCGACAAAGTAATAGTGAGTATATATAATTTTTTGCAAGTTCGTATTAACCCATATTAAATTGCCATAATGCAAGCTAGCTCGCCCAACCCACATTAACTCGGTGTTTTACGTCTAGTCTTATTAGTGCACATCAGGTTTCGTCTGGTAACATCAGGTTCGATCAATCCGTATTAGATTGTATTAATCTGTTTCAAATTCTTGTAACCCAAATTGGCTGACTAACATCACGACATCAACAACATTTATCCATTTCATTCCAAAAGCTTTATAAATTATTATCTGTGGACATTAGACCAAATGATGTATTAAATGATGATTATCTATGTCGTAGAATGATGTATTAATTTCATATTTCGTTGTTCCTAAAGATTATTAATATTAATTTTGGAGTAAGTTTTCAGTTTCAATTTTTTACCATGATATTTAGTATTTTGAAAAAAATGTTCAAATTGAAGATAACAAGAACAGCTCACTACAGTCCACACTTTCTCGCAGTTGTGCAGCTCAGTTAGTAATCATAGCTCAGTTAACCTTCCCATTGCTCATATTAATAAGATACATCTCATAATCGTAGGCTAGCTTCAGTTAGTTTACATTAGACTGCATTTATTCAATCAGTTTGTCGCAGTTATAAAAGTAAACATCTGCCATTTTAACTACTATCATTATAGCTAGATTCCATCTACTATACAATATTTATGGTAGTTATAAAAAATTATAAAACCTATAGTTTGATATTGATTTTGGAGTTTTAGAACATAGAATGGTAAATTGTAATTCTCTTACCTCCCAAGTAATGTCCTACGTTATTTCTTTTTTCCAAAATGTTTGGCCATGTATTTCCTAACTTTCGAGACTGGCTTTTCTTTAGTCTTCTGTTCTACGCTGTCAGATGTTATACTCACTATTTTAGGAATCAATGGATGTGAATATCGGTTACTCTTACAAAGTTCGTCAATTTTGACCAGTTTGTCATAAAAATCGTTCTTCTCTGCAGTTAGCACTGCCGCTGATTTTTTTAAATCATTTAGTGTTGTAGTCAATGATTCAACTGTATTTTTACCTAATTCTTCCAATTTACTTGGACCTTGTCTTAAGTTTGTCTGGTCTTCCATTGTGAAGTGTTATTTTCAAAACATATCTAAAATACTAAAAGGAGATTTTTGAATTTTAACCCTGGTCCGAAACTGAAATTAATTTTTTTTTTGACTTTACACATTTTGTTAAAAATACATTAAAAATTTTAAATAACTTTCGAAAAATCAAAGATTACTAGAATTAATAATTAAAAGGTTTTACTAAATAAGCATAGAGATTGTTTTTTACATTTTTTACATTCATATCTTTCAGATCTTTTCAAACATGGCACTCCATTTCTTTCTCGGTCCTTCTTTTCTTCTCGTTGTACTTACTTCATTCTCGTAGATTCTGACTATTGGTCTTTCTTCTGGCATCCGTACCACGTGTCCTACCCACTTCAAGCGTTGCTTCTTCCATCCATTAATTGATCGCGTTCATCATTATATCATATTTCGTTTTCTTGCACTGGTACAAATACTTTTACGCATTATTAAGAAAAAAGAAATATGTTAGGTTATGCTGGCAGACCGAAATGGTCACACCTAGGCCATTAAGGTCCATAACGATATCAGATCAGTGTTAATTTTTTTTTTAGCAATAGTTTGCATCGCTTGAGATGCGCGTGTAAGAATTTCATTAGGATTTCGACAGAAACCTCAGGTATGTGCTTCAGTGCGGTAAAACTGTTAGCCCCCAAGTATTTTTGTCGAGTTCTCGAGAGAGCCGGGCAGTTACACAGCAGATGCTCTAGGGTTTCCTTTGCATTTCCTACAAGCATCGGTGGCTCGATGCATTTCCTACAATCATCGGTGTGAATTAGGTTTACTTTGTGCGCATGTGATGTAACCAGACAATGATCTGCCAATAAGCCAATTAATGTTCTACAGTTCCTTCAGCTAGACGATATAACGTCATTGGTGTACTTTTCCTCGTATATGTGTCTATATATAATCCTAACGATTCTATATGTGGTTAAGTTTAGCTTCTTTGTCATGTGCTCTTCCAGAAGTTTATGTATTTGTTGTCGGAGTACTTCGCTTGCTTATTCTTCAGAAAGTTTTGCACCATTTTTAGCAATAGCATTAACTAACTCATTTCCCTATATGCCTTTATGACCAGAAATCCAATACATACAAAGTCTACGGCTGTAGGATGGTCTGGCTATATAGGTATATATATAAAAAGAAATAGGTCGCTACACTTGTGTTATAGAAAATGGATTGATAAATTTTTCTATATAAGAATTAAACATTTGTATAAAGGAAAGAATGAAATATAAATAGTTGTTAGTTATAGTAATTATTGTGATTTGATTCATTGTTGGTGTCTCAATAATAATCTCAATATTTATAAAAATTATATTTATTTAGTTTAATGAATTTATTTTGAAACAGAAAAAATCTTTCCATCATTTTTTACTATCTAATACCCGTGACAATAAAAATAAAATTTTCTTGCTCTAATTACTGCTAAGAGAATTTGATTTTTATTTTGAGTAATTTAATTATAAAATATATCTTTAACTATAACTCCTTTAACTTGTCTTTTCTTTCTGGCTGAATAAATAAAGAATAAAGCACCTAAAAATTGTGTTTACAAAAACTCGTCGGAAGTGTGTCAGTAGTACCAATGCAAGTGACATTTATGATATTTTTGTTAACGAAAGTGTTTAAAATATAGGTTGATATTACACATAGAACCGGAATTTAGTAGTGTTTTAAGAACAGAATATGACCGGCCTTAGTAATAATTACAAGTACAAAATTTATAAAAGCAATGCGTTAATATGAATTTATTTTTAATTTAATTTTGACAAGTGAACGTTTAAAATGTCTTCACTTAAGTTAAAAAAATTTTTTTTTTCATTAACATTACTTTTAATACTACAATTAAGTGCCGCTATTATAAATAGAAATCCTTACGATAAGGAACTATTAAACATCAACAGAAATGGTGGTGCATATTTAAATAACAAACGTCCTCTCTGGATACTAGAAGATATGGTGCCACTGCAAGACTTGGAACAAAGCGTATTTACTACGCATAAGCCAATTTTCACTTATAAAAAAAATCCTTCAAAACAACGCATAAATGATAAAATGAAAGAATTTGTACAGAAGAAAACATATTTACCAGAACGTAAAAAATTACCAAATCATTATATATATAATAAGAATCAAAATATTGGTTTTGGTTCAACATATAAAACTGAGAAAAAACAAAATGTACGTAGACAACATTTACAAAATTTTAGACCACATAAATCTGCACGCATGGCAATGCCTACATTTGATACCATGCCCACTAATGCTGAAAGCGAAACAACACCCATTTTCGTTTATAATGGTCCAAGAGGACAACTTATCGTTAACACAATGCTTAGCAAACGTAAATATGCAATGAAAGAACCAATACCAGGAGAAGTGTTACATCCACCAAATGTACCCATATTTCGTCCAAAGCCTATAGTACAACATTTTCACAAACCAAGCGAAACACAACTTAATTTAACTTTAATACCATTTTACGCACACGAAGCTATAAATCCGCGTGATTTGGATTACGATACAGATTATACAACCACAACTCCAGCAGCGCCAGCTCCAACTGTGCTTTATGAAACGCAAGTGCAACCAACCAAGAAACAACGCACATCCAAACATTATGACGCTTTTCATTCTCCACATGAAGTGCAGTGGCGCCCAACTGCACCAACATTACAAATTGTTACGCCCACCACACCTTACTCAATGGTTATACCATCTCCATTACGAAATCATCGTTACAATTCTTTGGACGACACAACAGCAACAACACCTTCGCAACCAGTAAGAAATTTCAAATTGTCTTATAAAGATGATGAAGACCAATTTCAAATAATTTATGTGGATGAAAGTTTAGAGAAACCAGCAACTTACGCTAATAGACCAACTACAGCACCTTTTCCTAGTAGAACTTATGCTGCCAATAAAGAATATTATGCTTTCCCAGTGCTGACTATGGGAAATCTATTAAAACCAGATGATGAACAAACAAAGGAGCTTATAAATGAAGAGGTAGTGAGTTCTAGTGAAATTGTAGAAAATAGTTTAAATAACAAAGAAAATACTTGGTTTATATTAAATTCAAGGTAAGTACTTGAAGTCAATAAAATGAACATAAACATACTTATTTAACATGACCTTACCTTATTAGGTATAAAGGATCAGATTTAGATGATAGAAATCTTCGTTATTCTTCGAAATACGTAGAACAAGTACCCATTATAGAACAAATAAATTCGGCAGAAGCTTTTCTTAATGAGACAAAGTTTGTTGTTTAAGTCTTTTGATACGCGTTGTTTACTTGTTGAAAAAACATTCAATTATGAATTGTATTTATTAAATAAATTAATGTACATATATGATATGTGTTTATATTAATATACATATATTTAAATTTAAAAGTATAGTTTATTAAAATAATAAATTGTATGTATTAAACAATAAATTGTGTAAATTAGAATAAAAACTTAAATATTGCCAACCAAAACAGTTGGCATGAAGTTGCTATTCTATTTATTATTATGTTGAGGCTAGTTGAGTCAATGCACTTGAGCACTTTTACTCTCTATTAACTGCGAGGTTTCTGCATAGAGTGGGGCTACGTCCTGACTGGATTATTGTTTATCACTTCATCAGACTAAGTAATAATTGACGTCAGATTTGCACACCTCCCGAAGAGCATGTAACCGTTCTGAGATTCGATAACGCTGTGTTGGTAAGCCTTTCAATTTTCGTAAATAATTTCAGGTCTCTATCCTTTCTGTATTTTTTGATCGGATCAATCTTGATTAATCCTAATGTATCATGGTACCTTGAAAAGTTATCTCAGAGCCTGGTTTATTTATTAAAATAATAATTTATATTTATTAAAAAATATTACGATTAATATTTAACTATTGACATCCAATTTAGTTGGCATAAAGTTGCTATACTCTTTATCCAAGAATCCAAGAAAGTCCACTTAAGCTCAAATAATGGCTCATTGTGGTTTGTACATAAACTGAAAGATCAGTTATCAATACCGAAAAAGATAACAAGTCCTCCATTAGGTAAAGTAAAACCAACCTGACAGTTCTTTGAATTTAACTTAGTCCCTTATATTACAAGATGAAAGCACGATCAGGTCGTTAAGAAAATGGATCCCGAAGATTTTTTATCTTATCCTGGCTAAAAAAGTGCACTGGCACATGAGATAGAACACAGTCTCCTCTTCATCCTACTCAGTCGACTCAGTCTCATAGCATGCATTCCTATTTTGCAGTGGCCCGTCAACATAGATACTGTTGTGCTGAGCAGGTTCCGCCTTAGTTGAAGTAGCTGACTAGTGCGTTTTTTATCCAAATTAGACAAAGTCAACCTAGATATATGACAATAAGGTTCGTCAACCCAGTATTGCTTGGCTATGCTTATATCTGAGAAGTGAATGTCAGAGAGAAGAGCGACTGCCTTGGCAAGCTTGTTTGCTCTACAGCTGCCCGTGATATCTCTATGTTCTGGAACCGATATGAGTTGGACCCCGTTGGTTGGTTTTAGTTTCAACAGAAATTCTGTTTATCTTTTATTCTCTAACCTAAAACTATTATTATAACTATTATTATTAACAATAACTTACTACAAATTTTAATTATCATTTATCTTATTAATTCGATTTTAAATTAATAATTGCTGCTTATTATTATTTTATTACATCAAAACTCCTTGATAGCCATATATGATTTCATTTTAACCAGAAAGAAGCAAAATAATAATTTTCTAGTATTTTTTCATTTTCCGATACTTAACATCACATTTTCTTGTCTATTTAACTAACAAAATATGGTATACCAATTTTGGTTAATAATAGCGCATTAACGTTATATAATTTCTCATTTTATAGCTTTTGGCATTGTAGCGGCCTATCAATAATGTTTCATTTAAGGTTTCATTTAATGCCAACAAATTAATTTTTTATGAATCGCTTGAAAACTTTTAGTTGTTTTTTGTTTGTTAAATTCTTAAAAAATTATTGTGAAGAAAAATTTGAGTAATAAAAAATTTATGCTAAAACGATAAATTCCAAAGCACATTTTTGGTTTTGTTTTACAAAAGATATTAATGTGTAAAATTGAAAATTTATTGACTACAAACTCAACACATTTTCATCATTGTCAGTCAAATAAAAGCAATTCGAAAACAATTTAATCTTTGTCCATTGAATTAACTAATTTTTTAGATGTTCGACAGAAAACGGTTTTATTACGATTTTTCTTTTTAACACAACAACGCTAAGTATAATTCCGGTCCAAATAAATCCAATGAATGCCAACCTGCACAGTGAAACTAATCGCTAGAAGTAGTGAAAAAAATTTACTAAAAAGATAAGTTATTATATTTTGTTTAGTTATCCCAATTTAATAAATAATCGAAATATCTATTTATAATAAAAATCTTTCAGGTTAGTCATTTTGATTTATTTTAGAAAATAAAAAAAATAATCTTATTTTTTCCCTTCTAAGAGCCATGTTATGTAGAGTGTCATGGGCTCGTCAAAATTGGTTCAAAGGAAAACCCAAAGGGGTTTTAACGAAAATGCATGTTATACAGAGTGTCACAGAAATTGTAATAATTTGCGTCATCGATACTTTAGAATCAGCCATCGATGCAACTACGATACCAAGTAAATATTTTTTGATATAAAAGAAGGTGTGGGGAATCAATAAATCTGTGTGGTGAAATCACTATAATTTAGAGGAATCGTTATCGTTGCCACAAAGCATTCAAAAGCATAAACAAAGAATCAACAAATTTAAAAAAAAGTCATTTATATTTGTGAGGAGTATATGTATGTATATATATTACAAAGAATTACAAAAAATTTATATATAAAAAACACACAAATTTTTTACAACATATTGAGGTTAAATTCAGCATAAAGCAATAAATTTAGTGCACTGAGTCCTCAAAGATGCTTAAAGTATCAACAAAGGATCGATGCCATTGTGATTCTTTAAATATTAATGCCACTATAAGGTGCTTTGTTGCTACTAAAAGACACAAATGTTGACATTTCTTATTGAATAACACTTATTACTGAATAATTCGAATTGAAATTGACTGCAACGATAATTTTGGCACGCTTTTTAGAACTATTTCTTTTACAGTGATTGATATTTATTAGAATAGATTATACCGGCGATACTAAGGATCCACTTAGACTTATTTATTATTAGAAATAAAATACATTCATTACACAAAATACTTCCTGAGATTTACCAACACATTAGGAAATGTTTTATATTAATTACATTCTATCAAATAAAATAGCATTTTAATACGCACCACTTTTGTTAAAATTTTATATCTTCTTTGGTTTCAACAATCACAAAGGCGCGGAAATGACACTACTGAAGTTAAGTTTCAGATTAGAATGGTGACTTTGTGCAAAATAAAAAAAATTGTGTTGAGTTGAGAATGACAAAACCTACCCTTCCAAATATAAGGAAATCAACATTTTAATTTTATATGCTTCGCTATGTTTAGATTCTAAATTTTAAGAACTGCAAGAAAAGGAGCTCCAAAGATTTTTAATCTTTCTGTTTATATAACAGAATATTCTTTGCTTGTTGAATATACTAATTACTTTTAATAAATAAATTGTTTTTATTTATTGTTTTTTTAAAATTTAATAGTAAATAATTTTAAGTTAAAAAAAATATTTTTAGCCCACTGTAAAAACGTCTGCCGTTTGCGGAGCAAATCGTTCAAATGTCTTTCTTCTTGGGTTTCACTTAAGTTTTTCATTTTTCATTTCTTTCGCTTATTATTGATTTTAACTTTTTCTTATTCCTAAAGTTTCAAATTTTCTTGAGATTATTTAAATTTTACTTTGTTTTTGACTTCGATCAATTAATTTTGTTAGAATTTCATTTCAAGCTGTCGGATATCTTCCGTATAAAAGAAAATTCTATCTGAGGTTGGTTTTAGAACGTTAACAACTACGCGTGTGTGAAGACAATAACAACGATTATCGTAATTATTATATTTGAATTTTAGATGAAATAAAAAAAGTATATATTTAAAAAAAATTAAAAGGATATTAAATTTGAAGTGAATATAATCTGGAATAATAAAATATTTCTCTAAAGGATACACAAAAAGTTAAAAAATGATATCGAAAGTGCAATTATGTTATATGGTATGTTATGTAAAAATCTTACTATAAAACATTTCTATACTGAAGTGAGATTAATAATAACAAACTTTTAGTTAAGAGATAAATTTATTTTATAATAATTATAATAACAGTGCTTAAATAAAAATTAATAAATCAATAAAATTATTGTTATAGTTCATATAAAAGTTCATACTGAAACACATTATTTTGGTCTAAAAATAAAATCTTAATAATTTATAATAAAAAATTTATAATAAAATTATGTGTATATTTTTTTATACCACAGATTGAAAAGAAAAAAGAAAATTAATATACAGTGCTAATCCTATGTGTACTTTACGTAATAAATATATCCTTAAAATAATTATATAATTTCATTAAATTTAACAAAACAATTAAAATTTGAGCTAAATATTTAAAATTTTAAATTATATAAAAATTATAAAAAAAATAAATATAAAGTAATGTGATAAATGTTCATTACATGTAATATGTTATATGATATATAAAAGAAAGTAATAAAAATAATAAAAAAAAAGTACTGATTATCTGTTATGATTTTTTAACGGTTTTAGATTAATTTTAAACCACTGAGCTTAAATTTTATTAATTTAGGTCCTATGCTCCATTGAGAGAGAGGAAGTAGGAATAGAACTAGAAAAATAACTTTAATTTCCGACCTGTTTTTCTTCCTGACTTTTGGGTTCAAGTTTTAAGAGGATACTACAAATTTATTATTTTAGAAGATACGTATTTTGTGTCTTTAGTGAATTAACTACAAATGAAGAGATAAATCCTTTTGCCTTAGACACTCTTTCGCAAATTCTTTTTCCTTCACATTAAAAGGAAATTATTCTTGAAATCAACCTGTGGAAAATGAAAAGCATAAAAAAATATTTATTTGATAAATTCATATTTTGAAAAAAAAAGAAAATTTTGGAAAGTTCACTTATTCAAGCTCATGTCTCCTAAAATAACAATTTTCATAGATATTGGACTTATTTCGTCGCGATCGCAGGACACGACTACATAAATTTTCACTCGTATATATAAAAGAATACGAGCAAAAATTTGACTCTGGTTAATGTCATAAGGTGTCATTGACTCATTGTCATATTATCTCATCCAGTCTTGAGAAGTAATCCTTCTGCTGTCTAGTTAACACAAAACTTTTTCCTCTTACGTTATTAAAAACTGTAATGATATTCTGCTTAACTATATTCTCTAGATTATCACATTCTATCATATCGAACGCTTCTCAATTGTCTATTTACGTATAGTAGCATCTGTTTTTTGCTGGATTATGAATCACTAATACTTGTGTATTGTATATGGTTCGTATTGTATCGGACATCTTTTGTATCAAAATTAGACAGTCTCAGGCACAAAAATTCAAAAATTTTTAGTCCATAAATAGGTATTATACTGACTTGAATATCTCTCCGACTTTGTTAGGAATTTCAAATAATAATTTCATTTTAAATTAGTGATATATAATAGGTTTTTCACTTTATTAAACTGTATTGCCATTATTTTCAGATTCTTTCCGTGATAATTTTAAAAACTAACGCTTTTTGGTGGAATCCAACAACAACGTAAGCAGAATAACAATTATACGATTCTTATTACAACAATTAATTGTGTTTTCTTATCTTATTTCTTTGTCAATAAAGGGAGACACCAACAGTTATTAAACACATACCACTCACATATTATCGAACTTATACATACCAACCGCTCTCACTTAATCCCTACTCGTATCCATTCTTTGGCAATGGTGGCTACGGTTCACCGCAACAATCGCCCCTACTAGCTGGAGCTCGTTATGATACTTTTTCAGGCAATTTCAATCCAGAATTTCAACATGATGTTACTGCTTCTGCAATAACAACTGCAACTCCAGCTCCAACCACATCCACTTCAACAACAACTCCTGCACCTACAACTACAACTAGTACAACAACAACAACTATGACTACACCAATCGTTGAACCTCTCTTAAATGGAGCACCTTTTGGACATTATGGCAGTGAATTCCCTACTTATAATCGACGTATTTATACGAGTAATTATAACCCAAATTATTACAGACCTCACTATCCATACCCGGATTATTCATCTTATGCTCCATCTTTAATTAAATCATCACAGTTACCTACAAATATACAATTTGTACCTTGCATGTGTCCTGTAAGTGTTGGAGTACCTTCCGGACAGCCATTAGAGACACAATCAAACCCTATTTATTTAGCACAGTCACGTTCAACAGTGAGCGATGAAGCGGATTTGGATTTATCACTTGAAAGCGATGAGACAAAGTCGAAAATTGTTATAGAACCCGAAGTACTGAGTAATAATGCAGCAGAAGTGAATTCAGAGGAACTACATTTCACTAATAAAATCGATGAAGGGTTGAGTGATAAAATTAAAGCGAATTTGAATTCGGAAAGTGAACACCATTAAAAAATTTTGTTAACAAAAGATTTATATAAGTATTTAATAATTTAGACTGAATTGTAAATTTAAAAATATATATACATTTTAGTATTATGTGTATTATTCTAATAAAAATAAAACGAAAAATTCAGGAATTTTTTTTTATTATAATAACAAAGCGAATATTAGGAATAAGTTAGAAGCATTTTTTATTTTAGAGCGGATTCTATGAACGATGTTTATAATAGAATAGCAGACATATTTCACAATCTTCCTATGATAGCAGATTATAATAGAATAATAGGAGATATGTTTTATCAATCTTAGTAACTTATTTTTATAAATTTAAGTCATGATAAATAAAAAAAGCAAAGAAATTATACATCCCATTTGAAACTGTAGATTGATAAGCGTCTTCGTTATATTCAGTTCTGCGAGAAAATTATTGTAAAAGATTTCAATTACAAACCTTAGCTCAGGGTGTAGCTAAGGGAAGTGAAATAGACGGTATAAAAAAAGTCTTATGTCCAAGAATTAAATTGCGTGAAATAGCAGAGATGACATACATATCATATGAACATGTATTGAATATTTTACGTGAATATTTGGGTATGAAATGGGTTTTGACAAGATGAGTGTCGCGTTTGCGACCAAAACGACAATTGACCAAAAACGACAACGACATATACATAATAAGTTTATACATAATCTATGTGACTGCGAGCGTCGAATAGTCACAATTGATGAAACATGGATCCATTACGTTGCACCTAAGGAAAAACAACAAACCAGAGAATGGGTGGAGATATAGGATAGTGTTCCCAAACGACCACGAACTCAACACTTGGCTGGAAAAGTATTTTAGAATTCCAGTAGAAAAATTTTTACACCTTATTTGGAAAAATAAAAAACAATAACATCAGAATACTATTGCGTGTTATTGGATATTGAGGAAATCAAGAAAAAACGACGATCGAAGAAAAAAATTTTGTTTTTGCAGGATAACGCACCCGCTAACACGTCAATGAAAAGCATGGCAAAATTAAATGAATTTCAGTACCAATTGCTTCTTAACCCACCGTATTCTCCAGATTTCATTCTCAGTGACTATTACCTGTTTCCAAACTTGAAAAGATGGTTCCAGGGAAAGAGATTTGGATCAAATGATGAAGTGAAATGGGAAACTAATGTATATTTTAGAGGAGTTGATAAATTGTCTTATTTAATAGTTATTCAAATAATTTAAGATCATTGGACTCGGTGTGTCGAGCTAAAAGAGGACTATATTGAAGCATTAAATACATTTTTCAAAAAAAAAACGTGTTTTTATTACTTAGGCCGAGTATTTATCAATCCACCTAATATGTATTGCTCTAACAAGAAACCTTTTGGAGAATAGACTTCTTTTGCTCAAATTATGTGTCATGCTTGTTATAACTTAGTGGTTTTCAGAGTTATCAGTACATTGACCTGCCAAAACTATTTCACAAGTTTATGGCAATATCAACTTTATTTTAATGTGTAGCTTCAATGATTTTTCACAATACTTTTCGTCAGATTTTTATCTAAAAACTTGTGTCCTTAAAACACAATCAAGAAACCTTACCTTAACCAAGAAACTGACAATACCACATTCATAACAAATATTAAAAATCCCACGAACTTAAAATAAAATTTGTTAGTAACAAATTTAGCTTAAGTTTAGATTTAATAAATGTTGACACCAAATTATCTCAACTATTTAGAGCAGGAATACTCTTTGCACTTAAAACTAAAAAACAGAATTATTTTTACAGTCAGAATGTTTGGAAATAACTCTTTTTATTCTAACCAAGAATACACATTTTCTACAGGCTAAATCCCACATACGTAAATCTCATATCAATTGTAGTACAGCTCTAGGGCTGCTAGACACGGTTGCCACTTATGGTACTTTAGTACCAAAATTGGTACTTTTTTTTTTTGTCGTTTGGTACTCATGTTCAAAAACTGGTACATTTTTGACGACCCAACTTTATTGTGGATATTTCCAATTAATTTTTTTTATAAATGTAACTTTGCACTATTTTATATTTTGTTCATTTATAACACTATGAAAAACACAGAACGAGAAAACAAAAAGGTCCAAAAAAATTTTGGACCTTTTTTTACAGAAATGGTACCTTTTTAAATCAATTTTGGTACAGAAAAAAATTTTCAAGTGGCAACCGTGCTGCTAGCATACATTGCGATCATCTTATTCCAATGCATCTAAGAAAACCAAATTCAATTCTAATTAAGCATCTCCACGTACATGTACATTAATTACAACGCAGTTCTAAGACTGCTGGCACAAACCTCAAACGAATTCTTTATATTTCAATCAATTTATTCAAATAAATAAGTAAACCGCATGAGAATTATAAATTCATATTCGTGAAATTTTATATACAATTCTTTATTTGTACATTGGTACACTGTTTACCGTAAGTTAAAACATGTGCGCTAATTGCTAATGGTGTAGCACCTATTTCATATTTATTATTTTTAATTAGATATTCCTTACCATATTTTTGCTTTCGATGACGACACAATTATGTAAAAAGTATGTTTAACACGATTGGTAAATTATGCTTTTTATTCAGAAGTTAAAGTAATGCAGTTTCTGTCTATGTCAAATTCTATATACAGACGAATCCCGATAATTCGAAATCAAAAAGAAACAGCATTTTTTATTATTTTATTATAACGAGGTTCAAAAACAAGAAAAGATTTTTAATTAATCTTTTTTAAAAAAGATTAATGGACCTATTATGCGCAGTATTTTCCGCTTTTTAGTTTTCATGCTATCATTCAACATCTAAAGCCATTGGTTAAATAAACCCATTGTCATCCATACCTTTGCGTTTGCTCTTGAAACACCTTAAATTTCCAGATTTATTGTTTGGCATTACGTATTATAAGAGGTTTAATGTTCATTGAATTTCAAATAAAATACGAACTAACAAGATACCAAAATATATGGAAATTTTACGAATTGACGAGGTTTTTTTCAAAGGACCAGCAGTCGAATACAAATAGACTAGGTTTTTTCAAGAAACCAGCAGTTGCATACGAATTGGCAAGGTGTTTCAAGGGACCAACAGTTGGATACGCATTATAGCGGTTTTCGATTTATTGGTACACAAATTATTGCGATTCGACTGTAACTATAAAGAAAATTATTAAGCAGTGATAAAAATGGATTTAATTTGATTATGATAATAATAATTAAATTTTTTTATTGCTTTTATTTACGACAATTTACAATTTGTCAACAATTTAGTGTTTCTCATTATATTTTTGTGAAACAATTTATTTTCTGTATTTCCGATGACTGAGTTTCGAAAACTCTCTTCCGTTTTCAAAGTAAGTCCTAGCCCCTCCACACGCAATAGTCACAGCTCGCACTGTCTTGGCGCGCATGCAAGGAAGCAAATTGCAGACATGATAGACTCGTATTTTTTGCACATTGTTTTGTTTATTTTTCGCTAATTGTGTATTTGGATTTGTGCTATTACTTTATTTCTTTATTTTTTTTTTTTTACCTTTATGTTCATTTTGTGTGCTTCATGTTATAAAAGTATTCGCAATTTTATGAAAATTGCTCACTGCTCAATTACAGTCCAGACAGTGCACATCTCGCCAATCAATCGAAGCTGCCTTTCGATTCGTGAATTTTTAAGTTTTTAGTGCGATAATTTCCTTAAATTCGAAATCCAAATCAAAATGAAAACGCGGCCGCTGGTGAGTGAAAAATAAAAATTGTTAGTTGTTAAATTTTTTCATATAAAATTTATTAATTTTTGATTTCATTGATTAAAAAAAAATAAAAAAGTTGTGGAACATTTTTATTTTTGCCGCACTGGTTATTTTACTTGTTTGCCCACACGATGCGGATGCCAGGTGAGTTGAGTAGACAACTAATTATTAGTCGGAACTCGGAAGTGCAAATATAGTAAAAATATAATTAAAATATTTACCTCAAATATATGTTTTTTGTTTCCTTTAAATAAAATTTCCGAAATTGCTTATAAGCATAGTAAAATAATTATCATATGTATTTTGATCATATGAATATTGATTTTTATAAAATTGGTTTATAATTAACATATTTAATAGGATATTTAGAATGCATATCTCTTCTTTAATCTTTTCTATTTCTAGTGGGCATCAAAAGAAGAAAAAAATTGTGATTCATGTACCAATTCACAAAAAGATCGAGAAACATGTCCATACAGTTTACAAGCACATACATCATCACCACAAACCAGTAGTTATAAAAGAGGAAAAAGTTGTGCATCAAGAACATCATCCAATCGTGCATGAAGAACATATTCATCACCATGAGGAAGAGCATGAACATTATCCTCTACATGAAGAAAAAGAACCAATAATTGAGGAGGAACATATACACCATCATCACAATTATGATCATATAATCAAAGATGAACACATCTAAATGATATATAATCTTATAAACTATGTAGCTGAAAAAATTCACTTAAATAAATAACTGTGCTTTAATAGGTTTTTTATGTTTTAAAAAAATCTTATGATAACTAAAGCAACAATAGATTCTTAGCTATTAAGTTAAATCCATTGCAGAAGCTAATTGAATTTTATAATCCCTTCAAAGAATATACAACAAAAACTACCTCTTTGAATTAGAAAACTAACATAGCTATAGGAACAATTGGCGTACTAGTTCTCAACGGAACGGAACACTACGAGCGTAGTTGATATTTTGTGCTGCAACAGAACCTAACCGAACAGAAATATTCTGCCTTCCGAATGAAGGCCAGAATGTCAGCCGTTGAGAACCTCCTAATGTCAGAAGGGGACAGTAGTTCTTGATCCAGTGACCTCCTACTGGCCCAGATCAAGGCTGGTCTCGACTGCTTCTAAGCAAAATCGACAATTTATCTCTTTGGACAGACTCATTTTGTTAAGGTGGTAACACAGAAAATGGTGCCCCTTTAAATATCCTACCAGCAATCAACTCTGTTATGATAAAGCAGGTTACCTTACCATAACTGTAGGGATGAACCAGCTCTTTAACCTGATGGTTGCCTAGAATGTCGCGCCAGTAGCGTCTTCTCTCGGCTAAAAATCATTTATCAAGCTAACTTACATCAAACCACTTCCAAATAACGACTTTAAATACACAAATGCAAGAATGTGAATGAAATGAAATGTTTGCGATCTCACTTCTGATCTATTATAAGATGAGATCATTATTTTTACTGTTGTCCAGAAAAATATCTGTTAGTATATAAATATCTGTAAGTGCATATTTCATCTCACTAAGATGCTTGTTTAATAAAAAGGGCCATCTAAAAACCCGTGATTAATATGATTTTTAATTTAATGTATTTATTTAGACTAAGGTACACACTTCAAATCTTCTATAAAAAGTCAAAGAAGAAATTAAAATTTCTTGTTAAAGTTTAAGCTAGAAAAGTTGAGTTCACAAAGAATATTTGAAAAAAAAAGACAGTGTTATCTCTGATAACTTTCAAAGTTTGAAGAAATATCGATAGTTCGACCACCATAGAGAGTTTATTTCAAAATCGAAAGATTCTTTCCAAGGCTTCACAGTCTATTTCTAGAGATATTACTATAGTAACATCTATAAAGATGGCATATGCCATTTTTTTTTTAGTTTTTAGAACTAAGAACAGTCAAATATATCATAACTTAAAATAAAAAATGTACTTTTTGTTCTATTCTAATTTAACCTTGAAATAGTTTTTTTTTTTCATTTTAGATTTTGGTATTTTATCTATTGAATCTGTTATATTCTTCTCCTTAGATTTTTTTTAAAATCTAGTAATTAAAATATCTTAATCGTAATTTGTGTTGAAAAGTGTCACGAGCCAGTTTTTATTGAATTTTACAATATTTGATTGAATGGACTATAAATTACTGGATACTCTGTATTTAGAGATGTAAATGAGTATCTATATTTAATTTTATTCATGACATCTTTCATACTTACTGTTCATCCTGTTCCAAATTTAATTCCGAACAATCTACGTGTTCCTATACATATATATATATATATCACAATGCTTCTAAGAATAATACGATGTTACTAATACAACATGAGACTAGAACTGTGATATCAGGTTAGGTATCAGATTAGAACTGATATCTTTATTTTTAATTGAATGTTTTTTTTAGAGAATGTTTAATTGAATGTTTTTAGATCCATTACTTTACACCTGAAGGAAAACAACAAGCCAGAGAAGGGGTAGAACCACAGGGTAGTGCTCCCAAATGACCACGAACTCATCAATCGGCTGAAAAAGTTTTGTCTTCCTTATTTTGGGATTCAATTTTCATACATTATTTGGAAAAATTAAAAACAATAAAAAACAAATTACTACTGCACTGTATTCTCCAGACTTGACTCTCAGTGACTATAACCTGTTTCAAAACTTGAAGAGATAACTCCAGGGAAAAAGATTTGCATCAAATGACAAAGTGGAATGGGAAACTGATGTATATTTTAGAGAACTTAATAAATCATATTATTTATAAGGTATCCAAATATTGACAGATCATTGGATTCGGTGTTTTGAGCTAAAAATGACTATATTGAAGCAAAATATATACTTTTCTAATAAAATGCGTTTTTATTACTTAGGCCGGGTATTTATCAATTATTAATTCACATATTAACTAACACATATTAACTAAAACACTCAAGTATTAAAAATGTAATTACATATTTGCTTGAAACAAATAGGTAGAAATGAGAATATAAACTCAATGATTTTCAAACATTAAAAGCAAGCACCAATTACTACAAATTAATTTCTTTAATCTTTAATTAAAACTTTTTTAATTTAAAAGCATATATGAGTTATATAAAAGTATTACATTAATCATTAAAGTAAAAGAATAAAATAAGTATTTTTAACTATTTAACAGTTTTATTAAAATATTTACGCACATTCAACTTGTAACGAACAATTTGTTAGCACTGTGTTACCGACAACCATACATTTACGTCTCTAAACAATTTGCTACTTAAAAATTGTCTTTATATATGTATATACACTAGCAATTAAACTTAAATTATGCCAAATATTAATTTGATGAGTATTATTTATTTAAAACAGTGTTTTTAACATATTTATATGCAATTCTTAAAAACGCGTCAAATCAATTGACTTGTCATTTGCAATTTTCAGTAAACTTAAAAACTTGGCAGCCCTATTCTGATTTGAGTGATAAAAAGATGCAAATAAATCAAAATGGAAAAACACTTGTAAAAGAATTAATAATCACGCAAGTTAAAACAAAAGAAATTGAAAACAATACGGAAAATAATAGTTAATGAATTGAGTTTTAGTTTTAATATATAAATACATAGTGTATAGTATAGTGCCAAAGCTTGGAAAATTATTTACATCGACGTTCGTCGTCTCATTCGTCGTATTGACGTTTGATTTTTTCCAAGGCAGCTGCACGCCCTTCAAATCTTGCATTTGCACAAAGTCCAAATGAATTTTTGCCTGCAATGGGATCGCAGACCTTGGAGATTCTGCGCCAAGGAGTGTGGGCTTCATTGACCGGTGGATGGTTCTACGATCCGCATCAAGGTGTCTTTTGTAACGTTGTGCATTTGTATTTGTGGCTTTTCCTACTCTGCTCCCCATTCGTTGCATACTTGGTATGTGGGTCACTGAAAGTTGATTCATAACAATTAAAAATAAATTATTTTTTACTTCTTTAATTTGTTTTTGTTTCTGTTTCTGTCTTTGTTCTTGTATTTCTTTTCTCAAATAATTAGTATTTTCCTGGAACTTGGATATCATGGTTTTTGTACTGTATTGGCACCAGTCTCACAATTTTAGGTGTAAAATTAGTTAACATGGCACTGCATCGATTATATGATCGCGCACAGACTATGTCCGACACAAATTTAAAAAATCAGTTTTTTAAAGTTACTAAAGAAACTGAGCCACGGTGAGTTCCCGATAACTGCTATATATAAAGTTAATGTTTTTATTTATTTCAAGTGAGGATGAGGCTGGTATTGAAATGAAAGTAATGAGAAATGATGGCTCAGTGGAGCAGGCAATTAACGAGGCCAGTGAGGAAAATAGCATGATGTCCATTGAAAACGTTAACAGTATAATAGGTATGTGTTGTGGTGTTTTTATTTGATATGATTAAATTTACTTAAAAAGCTATTGTATATAGACCTCAAGGTGGATGTGCATCGCAAAAATAGTTCAGAGTCAATAGAACTGATGTTCTACGCGCCATCAGTGATGTCATCAAATAGCCAACAAGATCAGCAATCAATATTTGGTTCTGCAAGTGTTACTAAATCCATACGTTCTTCCAGTGCTGTACCTAACTGCGTTATAAGCGGTGAAGCAAATACAAAATATTTAACAGTTTATCCTGAAGATGATAACGAAAATTCACCTCGACCCAGTACAAGCAAGGCTGCCTCTGCCAGTATTGCATCTAACGCAGCGCTCCCAAACAATAGTACACTACGTCAGATAAATTTATTACGCAAATCATCCGAAGATCATAAGAGGCGACGACAAAGGCGACGTCCTGAGAGGCAAAGCAGTCTCGATGCAAGTGCGGATTCAACCATCGTGCCAAAGTTAGTACGAAATCAATCGGACACAATTGCTACTGCACCCGGTAGTATAATGCGTACTGCAACATTTTTGTATCCGCAAAATAATACACAAGATGATACTTCAGCCGTAAGGAATCGAAATAAATCAAATACCACTGAATCAAATGCTCTACATAAAACATCTTCCACAATCACATCTACATCAAACATACAACGACTATCAACTACAACAACGAGTTTGTCCGGCATAGCTACACCATCAGTAACAACGAGTACATCTGCTGTTGTAGTTAATCCACGAAGTTCACGTTTGCATCGCCATCGCAGTTCCGAAACTCATGATGAACGCATCAAATGTAATCGTAATTTATTCTTACCCATACACCATGTATCATCAGCTGCAATTGGCGGCGGCATTTCAGACATAGATGAATTAGAATTAAGTTTAGGTGGTAGTGCGCAAGGTGTAGATGGACGTGGACGTACGCTGAAATCATGGATATTAGGTAAGCAAGCGTGTGTATATAAAATGTATATAATGTGTAAAATTATTGTATTTATATTTGCTATTTAAGGTTCTTCATCTGATGTTTACATAGAAGATGATAGTTATACAAAATCCGATTTAGGCATTGAACAAATTGATGGAAGATCAAGTAACGCAAGTGGTAGAGCGGTGTTATTACTACAGCAACAACAACAGCAATTAAATTCACATTATCCACATCAGCATCAATACCGCGCACACCATCATAGCACCAATATACGTAAAGATTCCAACAGCACTATG